TTGACCAGGATGGTCTCGATCTCTTGACCTCGTGATCCACCCGCCTCGGCCTCCCAAAGTGCTGGGATTACAGGCTTGAGCCACCGCGCCCGGCCCTCTCATATAACTTAAAAGGTTTTTTATTTCACTTTTATTATTTTCTTTTTTTTCTTTACAAACAAAATAAATAGAGATGGGTCTCGCTCTTTTGCCCAGGCTAGTCTTGAACTCCTGAGCTCAAATAATCCTCCTGCCTGAGCCTCCCAAAGTGCTAGGATTACTTGTATGAGTCACCATGCCAAGCCTATTATGGAAATTTTCAGATATACACAAAAATCAATGATAATGAAACCCCATGTACTTTTTTTCCTTTTATTCTTTTTGCAAGCTTCTCCCTGAACCTTGTACTTTCCCAGCCTAAGCCATTGTTAAAACGTAAAACTTTTTTGAGATGGAGCCTTGCTCTGTTGCCAGGCTGGAGTGCAGTGGCACAGTCTCGACTCACTGCAGCCTGTACCTCTTGGGTTCAAGCAGTTCTCCTCCCTCAGCCTCCTGAGTAGCTGGTACTACAGGCACACACCACCATGTCCAGCTAATTGTAGAGATGGGGTTTCACTCTGTTGGCCAGATGGTCTCAATCTCCTGATCTCATGCTCCTCCTGCCTCAGTCTCCCAAAGTGTTGGGATTACAGGCGTGAGCCACCACGCCTGGCTAAAATATAAAACGTTTTAAAGCTTTATTTTATTCCTTTAGGTGTCCATTGATGGAAGTGAAAGTGTAACAGGTACTGGAATGATTGGAGAAAATGAGCAAGAGAAAAAAATGCAGGTATGTAAAGGTACTTTTTAATATAAAAATCTATCTTGCGCATTTCTGTGGTCTTCTGTGGATGAAAGCAAGAATAGGTAACTCACTACCTCTCTAGGAAAATCTCACCAATTCAGAAAAACAATGTATGTATTAGATAGCAGCTTTCTCAAACTGCCTGAGGTCCCATTCTTTATTGGTGGATGCAAAATGACACTAAAGAAATGGAAAAAGTCACAGAAATCCAGGTGGAGCTTGTGTCCTGGATTCAAAGGCAGTTTTCTGGACAAGGCAGTTGTGGAGACCAGGTGATTTCCTGACTGCCCCCATCCATGGCAGTTTGTGGATACTTTTTCTGGGACTTCATCATGACTGTTTCTAAATAACCTTCACTGCTTTGCTTTTTATGTTTTTAAATTTCTTCTCCTTCCAACTGATTCCCTCCATATTTTCCTTTTCAACTTCTGAAGGGGATGTCCAGACTAGCTAATTATCATTATTCTTCTTGGACAAATTTGTTTATACTTTTTCTACCAGATGGTTTCCTAGTCTGCAGGTGGCCTGTGGGCTGGCTTCTCATGGTTCAGATGTTTACTCTGGGTCCGGTCATTGGCTGCCCCTTACCTAAGTAACAGCCTAGACCACCAGTGCTTCTAAAAGTTTTGTAGTAAGAACGTAGTAGTCACAGGTGCATTCTTGAGTATCTTCAAAACTTACATTATTCAAGAATTGTTGTTTTGTGTTTGGGGGGATGTTTGTGTGGAGGGTATTCTTGGAGCTTATACAGTCATTGTAGTACATTCCTGCTCTACTGCTGCTTTTTATTT